ACTAGCAAGAGAGAGAGGGAGAGAGTTCCCAGTTAATTTTATGAGGCAAGAACAACCTTGATGAATTTAAAAGAATAGCATAAGAAGATAATTATAGGATAACTCTACTTATTTCCATAAATACAGATATACTACATGAAATCTTGGCAAACTGAATCCAGCAAAGCATAAAACATGACCAAATAAATAGTATTCAGCACTGGATTAATGACAGTTTAACACTGGAGTCTATTAATATAATTTACATATTAACAGATTAAAGAGAAAAACAGAATTGCCAATTAGTCAAAATCCAATGACCATTCATGATAAAAACAGGTAGTAAACTGCAATTAGAAAGGAGCTTCCTTGGGGCCCCTGGGTTGCTCAGTTGTTTGAACGTCTGACTATTGGTTTCGACTCAGGTCACCATCTCATGATTCCTGAGTTGGAGCCCCGCGTTGACTCCACGCTATTGGTGGGGAGCCTACTTAGGATTCTCTCTCTCTCCCTCTCTCACTGCCCCTCCCCCACTTGTATGGTCTCTCTCAGGAATAAATAAACTTAAAAAAAGGAGCTTCTTTAAAATGTTGAAGATTATCTACCCATAATGTACAAAAAACTCATATTTAATAGTAACAATTTAGAAGCATTTTTGAAGTCAATAACCTACTATCAATGCTTTCATTCAACACTGTACTAGAGGTCCTAGTCAACACACTAAGTAAAGAAAATTTAAAAAATGTAAGAATTGGAAAGAAATAATAGTCATTATTTGTAGATAATATGATAGTCTACAGAGAAAATCCAACAAAATTTACAATCCATTAGAACTAAAAAGAGAGTTCAACAAGGTTCGTAGATAAAGAGTAGCATGCAAAAATCAGAACAATGCAAAAATCAGAATTGCTGTACTTCAGCCACAAGTAATTGGAAAAATGTAAAAAGATATTGTTAAAGTAGCTATTAAAACAACAGAATAAATCAAACCATAGATGATTAAAACTAGGAGAAAACTATAAATTTTATTGAAGAACATAAAATAAATGTAGGGACATTCATGCTTATGAATGGGAAGTCTAAATACTACAAATATTAGGGGAGACTCTTATTATTACTTCTTTCTTGGTGGAAATAGCTCTGTGATGTGGCACTAGTGGGCTCTCTCAACCCCTCACTCTTCCACCAAGAGGAGCAGGGTGACTTAATTGATAAACCTGGGAAGATTAGACTGGGCATGTTTAGCTCTTGTCTTTCCTGTCTTGGGAAGGAATTTATTGCTAGGAGAATGCCTGCTCTTCCTCCAGCAGAAGCTCTCCTCCTATGTGGAAAGAATTCACTCAAGCATTTCCTGTTACCAGGTGATGATGATTGCTTATTTCTGGGATCTGTTAGCACGCCCATTTGGCTTTCTCACGAAGGTAAGCAACGTATTTTCACCTCTCTATCTGCCACTGTCATATTTGTCAATTTGTTCAGATGTTAGGTAAATAAAAGTGCTACCTATTTAATCCTTCCAAAGCCTCCAACAGGAAAATATGGCAAATTTCTCCCCAAATTAATTTATATATTCAATACTATTCCAATTAAAATGTCAATAAGACTCTCACATAGCTTCAAAAGCTGTTTCCTTAAACTCATAGGAAGTGTAAAGGCCCAAGAACAGCCACGACAGTGAAGAAAGAAAAAGAGGAGAAGGAGGAAGAGAAGGAAAATTGGAGGTGCTTATTCTCCTGGACACCAAAACTTAATATAAAACTTTAATAATTAACACAGTATAATACTGGTACAGGGATTGACAGTAGTCCAATGAATACAACATAGAATCCGGAAACAGATCCTTTTATATGTGACAATGGAAGATTATATTATAACAAGTTGTAAGAGGACAGTATTCAATAAATTGTGCTTGGATAACTGTCTATACATATGGGAACAGATAAAAAATTCTCACATATAAAAATTAATTATATACAACTATAAATAAATTAACTGATAAATTAGAAAAATAACATACTCACTGGATTACCATAAACTGTAAGCTCTCTGAGAGAAGAGATACCATCAAGTTTTTCCAGTTCTGTCATATCCTGTTCCAAAGTTAATAAGTTATTATTTGGTTAGATCCAAAATCTTCAAATATACACTGATTTGAAGTAATCATATGTAAGTGTTGGACTACAGCTAGCTCATGGCTGAATTCTCCAAAGTGAGCTTGAGTGACAAATCCTGTAATGTTGATTAAGGACAGATCTATGTACAATTAATTCAAAATGCATGATTGGTAAAGACAATATTCTAACATGGGATATAGGCCATATAGCAGCACTTGCAAGAAAAGACCAAATTTCTTCTCAGAAAAGTTATGATCTAAAGCTGAGATTATAGTTGGTTAATTCCCCAGAGGATTGACCCAGAAGTGTGGAAAAGAAGGTAAATCCAGTCTAAATAATTTTATTTTATTTTATTTTTCAACCATTATTTTTTTGGGGACAGAGAGAGACAGAGCATGAACGGGGGAGGGGCAGAGAGAGAGGGAGACACAGAATCGGAAACAGGCTCCAGGCTCTGAGCCATCAGCCCAGAGCCCGATGCGGGGCTCGAACTCACGGACCGCGAGATCGTGACCTGGCTGATGTCGGACGCTTAACCGACTGCACCACCCAGGCGCCCCTGGTCTAAATAATTTTAAACACACCTTAGCCATAAAGGCACATGTGATACTGAATGGACTGCATCCTGATATATTTTCTGGGAGTATTTATAGTTGAAAAACTATTTTTCTGGTTGAATGACTTGTCTTCTGTATGGATGGGATTATTTAACATTGTCTATTTATCATTGGTGAAACTTTGTGAGTATATCTTAAGTTTTGCAAAAATATTTTTTATATGCTATTTCTGTAAAAATTTAGGCAACAAGCTCAGCTTCAGTTTGCTGCTAGTTTATAGTAATAACATAAAGTTATTGATATGCTCCTATTCTTATTTGGATTGACAAGTAGACATAGCCAATTCATCTACTAACTATAAAAACATTTAGACCTATTTTAGACCATTTGGAAGTAGAATTTGACTACAGTGATTGATCTTTTCAATTTTGATCATAGAAGTCTCATAAATTTAGGACGACTTTGGAAAATCTCTGACAGTTATCTATAGAGATATTATATATTTGACCCACAGGTAGTTCCTATTTGTGGAAGCAAAGCATGACTGGAGAGCATAGAAATATGAAAAGTCTTTTTCTCAATCATCTTCTCAAATGAAACAGAGTATAACAGTGTTTAGTAGTGAAGTATTTCTAATCAAAGATGTCAAGATATTAATATGAGAAACAGAGTGTTAAATATGTGGATGATAATGCTGGTGTAAAGATATATCAAGAAAACTAATATGTTCATAATTGGGAAAGAGGGCTAATGACTTCCCATTTATTTATTTATTTATTTATTTAATGTTTATTTTTTTATTTTTGAAAGAGGGAGCATGAGTGGGGGAGGTGTAGAAAGAGAGGGGGACAGAGGATCCGAAGCAGGCTCAGAGCTGACAGCAGAGAGCCTGTTGCAGGGCTTGAACTCATGAACCATGAGATCATGACCTGAGCTGAAGTCAGATGCTCAACATTAACCAAAATATAATGGTTGTTATCTTTTGAGTACATTCTCAGAATAAGCACTTATGGCAATCATAGTAATAGCTTAGGTAGCAGCTAGTTAGGCTCAGATTGAGGCCTTTCATTTAAGGCAAGAAATAGCAATGGACTGTTTCCTAGAGTCATTTCCAGCTTCAGGTGATTACTGGGATGTTTAAAAGTAGACACGGTTGTCTGATGCCAGATAGGGGAGTCATTTAGACACAGGAATCAACTAGGACTATAAAGCTGAATTAAATAACTCACCTTTCAGTTGTGTTTCTGGTATTTTACTTGCAAGGGCAGGACTACAGGCAACAATTTTCCAAATCTACATTATGGGTCATGATGGCTAAGTGAAAAGCTTCACACTAGAATCTGTTATCAAGGATATGCAGTTTATGGAAGATTTTAAAGTAGGTTAATGTAGGGCTGCATATACCTTCATTTGAAGTGTTTTCCTAATTTTTCTAAGCCTTTTCCCTTCTATTCTAGAAGTCTTTATCAACCCAAGGGTTGATCTGATTGCCCATTTGTAGAAGTTGATGCTGGTGTCACCTACCCATGTTGGTACGAATACAGAGGAAAAAACTCTCCCCCAAAGAAAATTTGAATGGGGCATTTACAATTTTGAAGAACATAATATTTTCAGTTAAACAGAATCTCTAACTTAACCTTTTTACACATCTCAGTTCATTTTTCCCAGCTGAATGTATGCTCATGTTAAGGTACTATAATATTAATAGAATAAGTTTGATGGTAAAATGATCAATCTAAGTTCTAGGAAAAATACTATTTCAAGAATAAAAATAAACAAAAGAGGACTGATCACTAAACAATCAATACCCCTTCACTCGGTGACGTATGTATAATTTCCCATGGTTTATCATATAGTTTGTCCATTAGCTATATTAAATTTTGATAAAAAATAACCTTGACTGGGCATTATCCTGCTTGAGTTACTAGAGAGGAAGTTGTTACAATAACCATTCTGCCATTCATTCATTCCTGTAGGGATTTGGGAGGGTGGGGAGGGGGGGGCACATATACTCCTGGGAAAAAGCAGGTTCCCTGGTCTCATCTCTCTGTTATGCTGATAAATAGCTGTGCTGTCAAATGGACCAATGATATTTACTAGGAAAAAGGTCCTTATTTATGAGATGCTCTTAGCAGTACCTCCCTGGTTAAGGACTGCTTAGAGCAAATAAACCTAAAAGTATAGAATTATCAGGCATGGCTCCCTATAAAATATCATGTAAGCTCAAGTATAAAGTGGAGGTATTTCATAAATGAAACACTCCCTTGTTATAAGAGATCACTCACACAAAATCTGTCACACATAATCTCCCTTGGAGATCTTATATTTCAATGTAAGCTAGACAGTATGTAAAAAGAAAGGATCTGAGAAGCCACAGTAATGTCCCAGACCCTGTGTATCCTTGAAATTATTAGTAAAGCTTGAAACTGGGTATGATCTGATTCATTTTAAGTCTGATATGACAATCCTTTGTGTCAGTTCAGTTGCTATTAATGGAAAGATTTTCCGTAGGATTGCAATTTTCCCAGTTTAGATTTCCTCTGAATAAAGCTTTGCAAGAATCATTGCCAGTTTGGAAGGCTTTTCTCAGATGAATGTTGTTTGAACCTTGATAAATTAGTTGTATGCCATTTTTCTCTGTATGTATATTTCCTAGTTGCTATGTAGAAAAGGACAGTGCTCATGATTTCCTTCTAGCCCTGAACAGGCTTTTATATCACTATAGAAAAGACTTTCTAAACTGTAGCAAGTAGAGCCACAAACAAATATTGATTGCATAATTACTCTGTACCAGGCACTATGCTATATACTGATCAAATGTGGGGAAGATATACTTGGTCTCTGTTCTTGGCTGACAATCCACATTTTACTTTGTCTTTGAGGTTGTCTTAGAGGTATAGGCAAAAGCAGTAAAATTGGTAAGAGGTGGGCTAACAGATCATCACCAAAGCACTGAGAGAAATGTTAGGGCTGTATAAGGTTATATATACCTTCAACCCTCTTATCTGCATAGTGTATCTGGGCAGAGAGTCTGTCAGGCTCACTGGGACAGGACATTGGAGATAGGTTGAAATCTGAACAGGTAAAACTAAAGCAGGACCTTACATAAGAAAGTCTTGAGTCAGTAGAGATGGAATATTAAAGTCAGGTCAAGGTCCATTATCAGGAATTGAGTCAAATATCAGGTAGACCAAGGACATATGCCAAGTTTAAAGAACCAGAGGAAGTCTGGGATTGAGATGTGGAAATAAATAGCTTGGAACAAGAGCAGTCAAGAACAAAAGAGATCTCTTAGGACTGCTGGAGGAGCCTTAGAACATTTAGAGCTAACTTGTTTTTAGTAGGTGGATACATGTAGGGTTGGTTGGGTTTAAAATCTAGGAGCAGAGTGGACATCTTTGCATCACAGACTATTTATATGTCTCTGCTTCATGGAGTATTTACATGGCATATAAATAGCAAAGTTTTCATTGATGTGTTTGGAAGCTTTATGTTCAGAGGAGCTAAGTCTTGTAATTTCATAACAAAAAAAAAATATGTTACCTGGATTTTATTATATCCTAGGAAGAGTTTCTCAAGTTTTACCAAAGATTGTAGTTTGCTCAGCTCTCGTAGTCTGTTTTCTTCCAGATGAAGTGCCAACAGAGAGCTTGGTTTGGCAAAGGCACTGTCATTAAATGCTCTGATGCGGTTATGGTCCACTACCAATTCTTGAAGGACTACTAAATTGTCAAGTCCTTCAATTTGACTGATTTCATTCCCTGAAAAAAGAGAAGTTATGATAATGTCAAGTGAGCCCAAACTTTTTGAACAAAGATCTACCTATCTTCACTTAAATATTTTTTATCAAATGATTTTTTAAAAAGTAAAATGCTAAAAAGAACGTATTTCCAAGGAGAAATAGAAGTGCAGTTTGTGGGAAGGTAGCATTATCATCAAATAACATTTGCTAAAATTTTTCCTTTACGTTTGAGAGATCAAGATGTGAAGTATACGATGTACTGAATTGACCCAATCTGTCTGTTCAGTAATTAAGTGCTAAAATAGTTGGTATTGACAAAAGTAGATGTATAAAAGTACTGCAAAAAAGCACTGCAAAAGATATACTTCGTGAGTATATCTGATTTTTCTAATGGGTATTCAAATAGGTATATCTAAATATTTTTTAAAATAAATGAATTTGTTGTGTTAAGTTGGAAGAATAAACCTTAATTATGCTGTTATTTATTTCTCAGCATATTTTTGCACCACAGCCACATTAAAAAATTAAAAATGAATGAAACATTACATTCTATAAAATCTCAATCCTTTACAACCCATTATTTCTCTCTACTGTAGCAATCGATAGCTTTGTAAGTATTAATAATAATGATAATGAGAGGACCCTTGACTTGACAAAATGCTTTTAAATGTGTTTTCTACTAGAGTCTCAAAATGGGACAGGGAAAATATTATTTTTTAATAATCAGAAAACTGGGAGTCAGAGGAATTAAGTGACTTCCACAGGGACATAAAAGTGGCAACACCAGGCCTGACCTAGACCTTTTACATTTTAAGCTCAATGCTGCTTCTATTATGCCACACTATATTTCATTCACTATTCATCTTCCTTGTTTGTTATGGGATGAATTGTGACATCCTCCCTGCCGCCACCAAATTTGTATGTGGAAGTCCTAACCCTAGTACCTCAGAATGTGGCTCTATTTGGGGGTAGGGTCTTTAAAGAGGCAGCTATGGTCATTGGGGTGGGCTCTAATCCAGTATGACTGGTGTTCTTATAAGAAGATATTAGGACACAGATGCACATAGAGGGAAAACCATCTGAAAAGAAGTCATCTAAAAGCCAAAAAGAGAGGCCTTCAGAAGTGACTAACCCTGCTGACATCTTGATCTTGCCCTTCTAATCTCTAGAACTGTGAGGAAATAAGTATGTTGTTTGAGCCACCCAGTCTGTGGTGCTTTGTTATGGCAGCCCTAGCAAACTAACATATGACTGAACGTGTGATTCCATGATGTTGGAATTCTTCTTGAAATGTAACGTATTTCATTGAATTTAAGACAATAACAGTTGTCAAGATAGGTCAGTATTTTATGTATACTAAGAGAAAAAAACTCGGTTAGGTAAACTATGACATGCTATCCATTAATGCATGGTCAGATTTCAGATATGTTAAAAAGTAAGAAGCAGGTGTCTCAGAATTGGTGAGCTATGGCAAATTTACCTTATTTTGTTCTATTCTTTAGAGAAATTTATAACATCACAGCCTTCAATAAAATTGTTCACAGAACTAAATCACAGACTTTGAAACTTTACCAGTGTCTTGCTTGTAAATGAAGAAAGTTTATATAAGTCAGATTGAGAAAAGAGACTCAGTTGTGTTAATATATTACTTTCATGAAATTATGCATTTAGACTGTCACCTTTGATATTTTGAGGCCAGTGGTATAAAAATCATTATGGGATAGCTTCAAGTACTGAATAATGTCTGCCATAGCATACTTTTGGCCAGGATTCATTTTAGAAGGCTCATTAAACATATTTAAGAAAGAAAACTCCCAAACTATGCTGAATGTGATTTCAGGGATCTTACACTTCTTTAACTAGGAACATTAACCATTGTTTGAAAAACTCATGCTTATTCAACTAAATGGTTACGTTTTAGATAAATTTGACTCCTAATCCTTAAGATTCTAACTTGCTACCGTACAGCCTCACTCTGCCCTTCCCCCAAGATTCACCTTCCTCATCTTCTTGCAAATTTAACATAACAGGTGAAAGTTTGGTTCATAATCTGTCTCTTGTGGACCCTGGCCAGGCTTCATCTTATCATTGCTTATATTTGTGTACTCCCTTTGATTGATCTCAGAATCATCTCCTCCTGTTCAGTCTTTAACCTAAATCTCTTTATAAACCTCCAAATATGCTCATAACTTCACTAGCCACCTTCTGACCTCTTACCTGCTTTTTAGGGACAAGCTCCTCAAGTATGCAACCTCTGTTATCTTCACTGCCCATCCAACCACTTCCCTCTACATTGTTTTCACTTTGATTTTTGCTCTTTGCATGTTTACAAATCTGATCTGACAATTACCAATGTTGTTCTTTTTGTTTAATCCAGTTTCTACATTCGGTATTTTTTTCAAAGACCTTATTCTTCCTATCATTTGACTTTGAGGCTGTTCATCCTTTCTTTTTCTGATATTTAGAGTTTATATTTCTTGGGAAATCTGGCTGGCTCAGCCGGTAGATCATGTGACTCTTGATCACAGGGTCATAAGTTCAAACCCCACGTTGGGTGTGGAGCCTACTTAAAAAAAAATGGCCTAAGGTCTGCATTTCTTGGTTTTCTTTCAACATTTCTTATATGATTGCTTTACTGGGTCTTATTTCTCCAGGGGATTAGTGGGATGTATATAAGGGGAGGGGGTGTCTCCACATCTCTTTTGGCCTTTTATTCTTTCTCTGTGTTTACTTCCTAAGTAAGCACATACACTTATGACTCCACTTGTCACCTCCTTTGGTATAATTTTTAGTCTTGACTTGTGGTCCATTACTACTGCTTGAAAAAGTTTCCATTTTTACATCTCAAAATTGTCATAACACAACCTGATCATTCCTTACTACAAAGTAGCAGCCTTTCACAATGACTTTAGCTAGCTTTAGTACCTCCTTTTGCCCAGTCTCCTAATGAAATCATGAAAACCTCTTGAATTATTTTTCATCTCCTTATATGTTTAATTAGTCAGTAAGTCCTAATATTTCCTTCTTTTAAAATGTATTTTGGAGTCACCTTTTACTCACCCTTCCCACTGACACGACTCTAGCCCAGACCCTTACTATGTCTTTTGTGTGGATAGAAAATGCATGTGCTTTGGAATCAGACAGAGCTGTGTTTGACACCATTCACTGGTGAAAACCATTAACTAGTGCAAACTTAGGTAAATCATTTAACCCCACTGAGATTCAATTTCTTTTTTTGCAAAATGCATATAAAATTATTTACCATGTTGAATTGCTGTGTAGATTTTGTGAGATAATCTATGCAAACAAATACTTTGCCTAATGACCCAATTAATGGTAGCCATTATTGTCAGAGTCAGCTGCCTCACCTCCTGCATAAGGCTGCTCCACTCTGATTTGTCATGCTAGACACAGCAAGAGAACACACTCCCTTTTATATTCTTAGATTAAAATAAACTTTCCAGGGCTAGGTTGTTTGCTTTTTTTGTACATCAGTGTATCTTAAAAAATTTGTTATTGTTGTGCTCAGTTTCTTGTTCTTTTAAGGCTAAGTCTCCATGGTCTTGAAGCAACTCATAAGCACCTTTGATAGGCAAAAAGATGCATTAAATTTTTAAAAATATGATTTAGAAAAGCCTGTCTTTCAGAAAAAAGTTACCATACTCAGATCAACTATACAGATATCTTCCCACATGTCTCAGTGATGGATCCTCCAACCTTTCTTCTGTGCCATTAAATAATTATTGTTAGACTAAGGTTTCAAACTGTTTTTTTCTTCTCATTCTACTTTTCTAAAGATTTACAACTCTTACTCATTTTCAGTTGCAAAATGAGCATTATACTTCAAATTGATCATGTTTAGAAGCTTCATACCTCTCTCAGAGAACTGCATACTCTGTTTTTATCAGGTTGGTCCCTTTTCAAGTGTTGGTCCATAGATACCACAGTTGTGCTCTTGTGACTCTTCTCCCCACTACTTGCAAAACTCTTGGTCATGTTCACCTTCCATCTAAGTTCTATCAGTCTTTCAAAGAGTCCCATATATGTTTCAATTTCTCTTTTCTCTAACCTTATTGCACTTAAATTAGAAATGGATAGTTACTCAGAACTGATTCATCTTTCTTTCAGTATATTGCCACAGGTAGATCTTAAATTGCTTTAGAGCAATGATCTTATATATAATTAAAATAATATAGTGTTTCTGTATATTTCTTAGTGCTTAGCCCAATTCTGGGTTTAATAATTACTTGTGAATTTCTCACTGGTTACTTTCTATTGGTTTTTTAACCAAACTGTGATATAAAAATAAATTATGATGTAATACCATATATAGTGCCAGCACATTGCATTTTCTAGGGCTACAGATGCAGTATTCTCTAGCCCTGGAATATCGCATTTACATTATTTATGTAAATAACCCAAGAAAAACCCGTTAGCGATTACTAAATATTTTTGTCAGTCTGTTTTGCGTAAATGTTGATGCTAATATTTGCATATTAAAACAGGATTACCAAATCAATTTTTAATAATAAACACACTGACAGTGTTGCTACTCACCTTGTAGAAAGAGGAATTTTAAATTTCTTAGTCTATTAAGCTGTAGCTGAATTAAATTACAAATTCCATTATAGCCCAAATGAAGAACTTCTAAACTATGCATTATTGGAGGCAAATTTTCACTGTTTGTTGTATCTCTGAAACACACATGTAAGTTTGAGCCCATAAACTTAGTTTCAAACAAGCTATATCATAAAAAGTCTGATATATACTTACTATAAGTTGAAGTTAAAAAAAATTTACTAGTATATCAGAATTAAATAATATTATCTTTGTATTTTATATAATGATCACTTTTTATTCTTAAAATAAAAACTATTTTTATATAGTAAAGACAAAGTACAGAAAGAATTACTTGAAATGAAAAGCAAATGCCTGCACAATCAAGCAAGAAAAAAAGATGCATTCAGATTGGAAAAGAATAAATAAAACCGTCTTTATTCTCAGATGACATGATTTTGTATTTAGGAAATCCTAAGGAATCCACCAAAAAACTATTATTGCAGTAATAAATGAGTTCAGCAAGATCAGAAGATAAAAATTAATATTAAAAATTAACTGAATGTCTACATGTCATCAATAAACTGAGCACGAAATTAAGAATTTTACTCACAATAGAATAAAAAAGAACAAAATACTTCAGAAGAAATTTAACAAAAGCAACATAAAATATATACACAGAAAACTACAAAACATTGCTGAGATAAATTAAAGATCTGTATAAGTGGAGAAATATTCAATGTTTATTGATTAGAAGGCTCAATGTTACTAAAATGGCAGTTTTCCTCAAAATGATTAATAGATTCCAGGCAATCTGCATCAAAAGTCCAGCAGATTTCTCCCCCCAGGAAAAAAAAAAAAAAAACCATCTTATTCTAAGATGGTTATTTATAAGGAAATGTGAAGAACTCAGAATATCCAAAACAATCTTTAAAAAGAACCAAGTTGGAGGACTTATAATCTATGACACCAAAACTTTTAAGTTGTAGTAATCAAACCAGTCTGGTACTGGCAAAAGGAGAGACAGATCAATGGAATATAATTTAGAGTTCAGGAATAAACTTTTACAATTATGGTCAATTGATTTGCAACAAAGGTAACAAGACAATTCAGTGGGGGAAAGGGTAGTATTTTATTTATTTTTATTATTTTATTTTATTTTATTTTATTTTATTTTATTTTATTTTATTTATTTTTGGGGGGGGGGAGAGAGAGAGCACTTGCATGGGCAAGGGATGAGGGTGAGAGAGAATCTTAAGCAGAGTCCATGCCCAGCACAGAGCCCGACTTGGGGCTTGATCTCACAAGTGTGAGATCATGACCTGAGCCGAAATCAAGAGTTACTCACTTAACCGACTGAGCAACCCACATGCCCCACGGGTAGTACCTTAAACAAATAGATGTCCACATGTAAAATGATGAATTTAGAACTAACATTTTACCTCATAACATGCACAAATGTATGAGAAATGTGTCCTGAATGTAAGAGAAAAAACATAAACCTTTTTGAATGAAACATGACAGAATCTTTGTGACCTTAGATAGACAAGGAGTTGTTAAATACAACACCAAAATCACTGTCTGTAGGAGAAAAAGTTGGTAAGTTGGACTTTATCAAAATTTAAATTCCTTTAAAAGACACCATTTAAGAAAATGAAAAACCAAGTCATTGACAGAAAATGCTTATAAATGAATGGGGTACCACTTCAAATCTATTAGAATGGTTGTAATAAAAAAGACAATAACAAGTATTGGTGAGGATGTGGAGAAATGAGAATCTTCATAAACTGTTTTCAGTAATGTAAAATGGTGCAACCACTTTGGAAACCAGTTCTGGCATTTTCTTAAAAAGTTAAACATGAAATTACTCTATGACCCAGAATTTCACTCTGGTTTCTACCCAAGAGAAAAATACAAGTGCTTGCAAATACTTCTACACAAATGTTTTAGCAGCATTATTAATACTAGCCTCAAAGTATAAACAATCCAAATGTCCATCAACTATTGAATGGATTAACGTCATGTGGCAGAGCAATACAATGGAATACCTAACATATTCAGCCTTAGAAAGGAATGAACTATGAATACATGCTGAACCTCAGAAACATTATGCTAAGTAAGAAGTCAGATACAAAAGACTACATATTATATGATTCTATTTATAGGAAATGTCTAGAAAACACAACTCTACAGAAAATGGATTAATGGTTTCTTAGAGCTAGAGGTGGGAAAGGGAACTGGCTGCAAATGGACAATGATGGATATTTCTGGTGTGTGATGGAAACGTTCTAAAAGTATGTTGCGGTGATAGTTGCACAGTTACAAACTTAGTAAAAATTATACACTTAAAATGAGTGAATATGGTATGTAAACTGCATTTCAGTAAAGTTGTTGAAAAATACGAATAGCCCCCAATATAAATGATGTGTATAAATGAAATGTTCATTGCAGTTTTGATCAAACTAACCACAAACTGGAAACAACCCATGGCTCATCAATAATAAATGAATAAAAAAATAAGATTATTCTGGGGATTTTTCTATCTATAATACCCTCCATATTTTTTTGCTCTCACAGATTAACAGATGATTATATTGTCTTTGATCTTAATATATCCTAAAATAGATTAAAGAACACACAAAATGGATAAACAACTGTCATATAATCTATATGATGGTATACAACACAGCAGTAAAATGAAATGAATTACTGACACTTGCAACTACATAGATGAATCTCAAAAGAATTATGCTAAGTGAAAGAAGCCAGATACAAAAGACTCCTTACTATATGATTGTAATCATATGAAATTCTAGAAAAAGGCAAAATTATAGGGATAGAAAGCAGATCAATGTTTCCAGGACCTAGGGTGTGTGGGGGTGGGGTAGGGGGGAGGGTATTATAACAAGATACAAGTTTCTGGGATGGGAATACTTCCATTGAAGGAATGGTTACGTGACTGAATACATTTGTCAAAACCCATCAAACTGTACACTTAACCTGGAGAGTTTTATTATATGTAAATTATACCTCAATAAATATAGATGAAAACACTAGGAATGCTCTTCATTAGGATAACTGGAATGAAAGTATTTTGTCTTGGATATATATCTTCACGTTCTACCAAAAATGTGTAGGAAGGTGGGAGGTATGTCCTCATTTTCTTTATAAAGTATCTTTTCCACTGGTGCTGGGGCATTAAGTGACCAGGTGAATTATTTAGAAACACAAACAAAACAAAAGTTACAAGAAACCTAAGTTCATGCTACTGGGTAAGGAAGGAATTATTTTGTGGGGTGATGAAAACACTCTGGAATTAGATGGAGGTTGCATTGTAGTTGTATAACTTTGTGTATATACTAAAATAAACACTGCATTGTACATAGAGTGAGTGTTATGCTATGTGAATTGTATCTCAATTTAAAACACATTAATCATACAACATTTCTTCATTTTCTTTTTTTATATAATGGGTATGAAATGTTGGAAGCAGGGAAAAAGCAATGACAAAGGGCTATTTTGAGTATCTTTTTATTTGTGACATTTATTATTGGCATGTCTATAAAATAAGTATCAAGTAAGGAAAATGTACGTTACTGCTATCACTAATGTGACTTACTGCTTTTTAAACTCCCAACAAAAATTGTATATAATTGTGAGAAAAAGAATAGTACCTGTTTATTTTTGAAGTTCCTTGTTGTCCATAGCCACTGGAAGGCACTTTCTGGTAGAGTAGCTGTCTGTTGGTCAAGTGAGTCTGAGGTTTTAGTCTGGGCATGATTGATTCAATATGATTATAGTTGAGGCATAAGACCTACAGAAATAATACCTTATTAATCAGATGTTCAAATATGAATGCTGTATATATATCTTTAGTTTGAGATTATCAACATCCTAAAAACTATTAAGATGTAATGGATTATACAACATAATATAATAATATATCAGTGTTAAAATGGCACAAATGGTCTGTATTTAGCTTTGAATGTGTTTTTTTGAATAATCTGACTTGCTAAGAAATGACAATATTTCAAATAAATAATGGAGACCCCAGAAAGCTGCTCAAGCTTCTCAATCTGCACTCCTGATTTCTCCAAGCCCGATATAGATGAAACAATTGTTTAGTTGGAGAGATCACCACTTCCCTATGTTTAAAAGGCTTTTGTAGATGGCTCAGCCAAAGCTATAAGACAGGAGGCAATAAGGCTGCTTTGAGAACCTCAGTGTCCTCCAATTTCATTCCATACCCACACCGTAGAGGCACCCTTCTATCCCGTCTCCTACTGCAGAGGAAGATTTACTGCTTATAAGACAATCACATAACACTGAGGTCAACCAAAATAATTTTGGAAAGTAGTACTTTCTCTTGCTTGGTGAAAAAAAATTTTAGGAATAATTTCTTTAATAACACAAAAATATATTTTAACCCAAAGTAAATAAGATTACAACTCACACTGAAAACCTTGCAAGAAAAAAGTAAAATCTGTGAGTGACTCACCTTCACATTAGGCAGATAGATTAATCCACTGAATGAGGTGAGATTATTGTTTTGTAGATTCACATTACATACATTTCTAAATTGGTCAACTGGAATCAAGTCCACAGTTCTGAATTGAGATAAATACATTCATAATTTTGACAGGAAAATTATATAGGTGAATCATTCATGTACAATCCCAAAAACATGAAAAAAATGCCTCTATCTGACAAGTGCTATGAAAAATAATTGCCTTAGTGTAAAATGTATGGGTTAAATAATTGGATAAATACATGTTTTTGTTGGACATTTATGTAAGAAAATGACACAGAATTTGAATGCTTTAAAAACTATGTCTATTACCACATAAACATAGCACTATCACAAAGCAACTTTTAAAGTAAACATCCCTATTTCTTTATAAATTTACATACATATTCATGAAATTGTAGTGAAGTTGATATAGTAAATCATAAGATTTTCAGGTTATAAACTGCAGAGGATATATGTGAAACACATTATTTCTGAAATTCCGGGAAGACATTAGAGATGGGAAAGAAAAGGGGAAAGAAAGCAGGTGAGGTCTTTGAAAAAAGAGTTTTCTATGCAATCTCCTGAAAACTTTTATGGCATTCCACTTTGCAAGAATGCTTTGGTAGTTAAAAATATGTTTGATTCCTAGTCCATGGCTTTCTTGGTCCTTTGAGCCTTAATAGAGAAGAGCATAAGGGTAACTTATGTTACCCTAACTACTTTTTTAAACAAATCCTAAACCCTGTAGTTATAATTATGGCATACTTTTATCCATTAATAAATCATTCATTCAACATATTTTAATTAGTATTTTCTAAGTGCAGACAATGTATTTGGAAAAGCTATAACAAATATGAAAAGATACTGTCTCTGTCCTCATGAAATGGGATCCAGAAAAATTAAAATAAAAAAGGAAAAATGATATAATAGAGTTAGATGTAATGGAATATTAGGGAGAAAAAAAACCTATCTGGGGAAGTCAGCACACAGTGGAGCCTTCAAATGAGCCTTGGAGAATTTATAAGCATTTGTCAGGCAAATTAGAAAAAGAGTTCCAGCTAGCAGAACAAGCATAAGCAAAGGCAGAAATGTGAAACAGCATCTTGTGATTGAGATTAAGGAACTAAAATATTTTAGAATTTCTGGAGTATAAAGAGTAATGGGCAGTGAAGGTAAGGGTTATAAGAGATACAAATAGAACGAGTCTTCTATGCCATACAAAGGGATTTTACATTTTACTATAGACAGTGGAAAGCCACTGAACAATGTTGAGAAGGGAAGTGACCTGATAAAACTTGCATCTTAGAAGATGGTATGGATTTTCAGGAAAGGTTATATAAGACAAAAACCCAAAACTATCATCAACAGAGTTTCTAAAATAGTTCATTTCCCAACCTAGGCCAAAGGTAGTGACTACAGAAAGAAGAGGGGAGTTATGAGACATACTTATAATATGGACTCTGTAGAGCATGGTGATCAATTATAAATGGAGGACAAAGGAGAGAGAAATGACCTTTAGATTTTTGGCTAGGGTGACAACAGATGAATGTTGTCTTCTAGATGCTATCTAAAGAGCAACTGAATTTTCAAGTAAAGAGCTCAGGTTTTGGTTAAATTTAAAGGATCATCATCACAAATTAAAATTATGGCTAAAGATGCCTGTGAAGAGTGCAGAATAAAAAAAGAGAGGAGAGAAAAGGATTTATTTGCCAGGAGGACAGTGAGAAGAACATCAGAAGAATGGTAGCTTTAGAAGTCAGATTTCACTGGGTTAAAGTCATATGTGAGGAGCAAACCTAGTCTATTCTAATTTTAAAAGCTTGGTTATTAGAGAAGAAGACATAGGATGTCTTAGATTGCTGACATTTTAAATCATAGTGTGTGATAATGCACTTTAATGAGTGGTGAAATTAGCATGAGATTTTGAAGTAGGGAAGATGATTTTCTGAATTATTAGTTATATTTGGATAAGGTGAATAAAAACCTTAGATAATTACAATAATTGCATATTTAATTATATCAAAAAGCATATAATAAAATGATTGCACCTGATGGATGATGAAGTCCAACTGAGTTCTTGCATTTGAGTGAAGTTTGAATGTCCTTGTCGTTCTGCAATCATGTCAGAAGTAAGTGTGCCACCAAACAAGTCTTTTGCACACTCAGTCTCTGGTTGTTCCTACATATAAGGACATTTAGAAAGTGATGTCTTCTCTTACAGATGACTAAATGATATTAATTCTTTGGTTTTAGGTCAAAATGGAGTGGACTCACTTCTCCCTATTCCTCCTACTAAATACAGCAAAAACTCCTATATATTATATAGAAAATAAATATAAGGAGACTGAAAGGCGCAGACAAGAAGGCAGACCAGCTAGGGACCTTGGGACTAAGGAATGATGCTGTGGTGAGTCCGCTGGTCTATTGTTGTGATTTATCATAAGAAATATATATTTGGCCTTTATCCACTGTTCCTGGCCTGGCCATATGGTTAGGCAGAAGAGCAGTGGAAAACTGGCCTATTAAAAGATGCCCATATGGGGCATGGCCCTATGGAAATTTGAGGAGTACATTAAAGTAGGACACATTGATGCCCATCAGAACTCCCTTCCAGGTTTGAAAGGTGATTGGATTTGACAAGCAGATATCCCCATATGCTCACTTAAGGTGGCCACCTGGGTTTGTGAAATAGGTGAATACTGGGGGTCTACAGCAATGCAGAGATGGACGGAATCTAGACATCTTTATCTTGCACCCTCTGAGGCACAGAATACCAATAAGAACTGTTTTGTCTGCCAGCAAAAGGGACAGAGACTGCAGATGGCCATGTGGCAGATTTCCCTGGTGGGAAGACTTTGAACAAACTTGGCAAGTCAGACTCATTCTGGTAGCCCTAACGGGCTACAAGAGAGTCTTGACAGAAATAGATTACTGACTCCGGACTGGGTTTTGCTTACCCACTGGTAAATGCAAATGCTCAGAGTGCTGTAAAAGAACAGAGACAGAAGATATCATGCCAATTTAGACAGCTGACTGTTCTTTCTTCAGACCAAGGAGCACACCTGACAGCTCATAATGTCCAACAGTGGGCAGTAAGATATCCTACTCAAGAGTAATAGCTCGATGGAGAATTGGAATGGGCAGTTAAAACGTCAGTTGTCTAAAGCAAGAAGATAAAGTATGAAGGGCTGGTTTATATGCCTTTACGAGAGTGCTCACATTCAGTGTGAACATGAGTGGGGCTAAAGCTATCCCCAGTGGATAGACTTCTCTGTTTTTCTGGTGGCTCTGGGGAAGGATGCTGGTGTGACTATGCAATCCTTGCTAAGGGAAGGTGATGCTCATATACCACTATCCTTTTTATTTTTCTCCACATCACCTCAACTTTTATTTCCTACCTGATCAGGGACTATGGCTGGAAACAGGGATGATTCCTAAGCAAGAAACTACAACTATGTTTTTAAACTTTATGTTAAAATTCTTAAAGGCCTGATGGGGGTGGGCTTTGTCTTCACCCCATCTGGCAAAATTGGGGTTAACAGTGAATGTTAGTTGTATTGTCTGGGGGGCAAAAATAGCTGATCAGTCCTGCACCTGTATAATCTCACCCCATCTGACTGAGGGGGATGCACTTACTAGACTAATATTGTTGTCTGCAATCTAGGCCAGCACAGTGGCCCAGCCTATTGTCCCTTCCAAAGGGGGAAAATTTGGGTATAAATGGAGAGAAGGAGAAATAGCAGTTATGGGGGTAAAGAAATTAATAAGTAAGTTATGTAATGAGGGAAATCCAATGTTACATTAACACCTCAAAAGAGGCTCAGAGCAAGAGATGATATTCTCTTTGTCTTTTTTTAATCTTTGTTTATTTATTTTGAGAGAGAGGGAGAGAGAGAGGGGGTGGGGAGAGAGGGAGCGAGGGAGAGAGAGAATCCCAAACAGGCTCCATGCAATTAGCAGAGGCCAATCCCACGAACTGCAAGACCATGACCTGAGCTGAAATCACGAGTCTGATGCTCAACTGACTGAGCCACCCAGGTGCCCTGATATTGTCTCTTAAATAATTATATCCGTTGCCTGAAAAGGGGAAGCTGTGTTTTCTGATACCACTCCTGCTTGTGGAATCTGAAAAGGTATCCAATGAAAGCTTGCAAATCTGAGTGGCTTCACCCTGGGAGACATTTTCATATGATTACAAACTGGATAATGACTGAATGAGATTATAGTAATATGACAGTGTTTTTTGAATTTTATGATCATTTTGCTATAAATGATAGGATCAAAAATCAGGGAATGGACTACTATAATGTGATTTATAGTAATAAATATAGGGGCACCTGGGTGACTCAGTCGGTTGAGTGTCCAACTCTTGGTTTCAGCTCAGATCATGATCTCACAGTTTGTGGGATCAAGCCCCATGTGGCGCTTTGCACTGAGCATGGAGACTGCTTGGGATTCTCTCTCTCTCTCAAAATAAATAAACATTAAAAATATATACAATAACAAATATTTATTTGGTCTTCATCCATTGTTCTAGGCACATAGCTCCTAAAGCCCTTGTAATTTCCTATATAAGAGACATAGAGGCATGTTTTGCTATAATATTTGGTTTTCTGACACCAGTTTCTGAAATTGCTTCAGAGCCATAAAGGTGAAAGCAGTGTCTTGTTATTCATAACAAGCTCCTTTCAACGACACCTGAGTTCATGTTAAAGGGTATCTTTTAGAAAGTCCCTAAGGATGGGGGCTGTTTGCCAGGGGAGTCAACTACAATTAGAGGGTTGGAACTTTCACTCTTACTCCCTGACCTGTGGAGAAGGGAGAAGGGCTAGAGGTTGCATTAGTCACCAATGTCATTTAATCAGCCATGCCTATATAGTAGAGCCTCCATAAATACCCCAAAGAAGGGGCCTCAGAAAACTTCCAGGTTGGTGAACACGTGTAGGTGCTGGGAATGTGGTTTGCTCAGAGAGAGCATGGAAACTCTATGCCCCCTCCTGTATACCTTGCCCTATGCATCTCTTCTATCTGGTTGTTCCTGAGTTATATCCTTTTATAATAAACCAGTCATCTAGTAAGCAAATTTTTTCCTGAGTTCTGGGAGCTGCTCTAGCAAATTAATCAAACCCAAGGAGAGGGTGATGGGAACCTCCTATTGATAGCCGGTTAGTCAGAAGCATAGGTACCAATCTGGACTTGTGAAGTGGGGGTGGGGCAGTGCTGGGGGATTGAGCGTGTGGGATCTGATACTGTCTCCAGATACATAGTGTCAGAATTCAGAGAATTGCTCATATGTGGAAAACCCACACATTTGGTGTCAGAAGTGTTGTGAGTGTGGGGAATTGTGAGAGTAAAGGAAACACATAGATGTGGGTTTTCCTTTACAACTGGGTTTTGTTTTTGCCTCCTATATGCGGGACTAGGTGCTGGAGAAACCAGAAACCCAGAAATGCCAACCAGAGAAAACAAAAATTCACACAAATGCCTGTTCTCTATAGTCGAAAGAGTAGGAAAGGGGAAGCCTAACAAGCCAGAAAATTTTTAGACAAGAGTGGGTCTACTCCAGCCAAACCCATGGCATAAATTGTGGTCCCATCTACATCTGTAAAAGCAGATGGGCACACAGTCTTCCACTCTTGTCCTAGTGTAATAAGGCACCTCTCTATCATCCCCCTGCTGAGCAAGTGGCTTGGATCTTCATCCTCTCCCAGCAGTAATGCACCCCCCCACACAAACACAAACACAAATGTTACTAGAGAATATTTGGGGAGCCTGTTCCTTTTCCACACAGTAATAATGGCGGAGCATTTATGAGTCAGTGGAGGCCAATGGGCAATGTGAGCTTAGCCGTTAATACAGCACATGCCTTCAGGTTGTCAACAGAGGCCAAGTGGGGGAGCTTGGACTTACACCTTCCATCTGACAGCAACATCGCCTTACTTACGGTTTACTAATAACACTGACATACCAGTTTTTTGTTCAAATATATTTTGCTTAAATATTAACAACTGTATTTTTCTAGGAAATAGGGAGCTGTTTTTAGGCCCAAGAGAATGGTAGAGCTCCAGAACAGATTTTTCTGTCCTGTCCCTATACTCTTTATTTTTGTCAGGCATCGAATTCAACAGGTGCAAATGTAAGCAATATCTTCCCTTTTCTGCCATCTCAATTTAGAAGAAAATTGGCTAACGGAGAATATTTAAAAACCCAGATCAAAAATGTGCTTTAGAGACCTAAGTCTGAGTATCATACGAGTGATAAGGCAATGTTCAAAATGATGATGGCCAATGGATATATAAATATGCAGGCTGGACCAAATGCTGTGAGTCATAAAAACAACTTACAATGGAGATTCCATCCAAAGCTTTCAGTTCTGGAAGGTGAAATATTACAAACAACCGGTAGTTTTCTTGATTCCATACAATAATGTTTCCATACATGTTGAGAATGACCAGGTTGCATAAACCCTAGGTAATAAAAACACATACATTTAAAGATACATCTATGTATCTCTATCTCTATCTATGTATCTATCCATACACATATACATTATGTGTATTACTCCAGCAAGATTTTTCCCCTTAAGAGTTTAACTACCCTGGAATTTTAATATTCGAATTACTCTATCATTTCTTAGTGATTACAGTACTTTAAGTACACGTTTCATTGCAAGAGTTATCCTTTCAGACCAGTAAGTTTTAATTTTGTACAATATTTCAGTGATATGTGATACATGATCAGAATCTCTTTCTTTTAGCACACTGCTGCTAAATATATTATCTATCAGTGGTAAAGACTTGGAGGGAACTTTGCTAAGTTTAAAATAATATACTTTGTTTATGGAAGAATGGCCTATTAAATAGTATGCATGTGTGCATATAGATATAGTAGGAATGAAAAATACTGCCTTCTGATAAGGGATAAAACCCATGTACATCTATCTTCTGAGAGAGTAGCAGAATTCATCTTAAGGGAAAATGTGTTTTTATTAGAACATTTTGATGTGTCTTTGTTGTGCAGGAACGGCTCAGAGTAGATGTGGTTGGGAGAGGTTAAGACAAGCGGGAGTAACACTACTCTGTCTCACAATGTAAAATGGTTTATTTTGTTGCTGCTACCATTGATAAGGTTGCCTCTGCAGCTTTAGAAGAAGTAGTTATATTTGTGGAATAGGATGGGGAGAAGGCTGAAAGTAAGGAAAGACAGGAAACAGACATAAGTTTTTGGTAGGAGATCAAGCCCTAGCAATATGATATCAGCAAAAGGAAAGAGGCCATCGTGAGAATCCCAGTGGTAGGAAATGGCCATTGAACTTTAGAAATAGTTAAGTCACACAATGTATTTGAAGTGAATTCCTATTCTGTGCTGTAGTAAACGTCCATTTTATTCAAACCTTTAGGAAAGCCTTCAAAACTTCAGTTATACAGTAGTTTAGACGTTTCTTTGGGAGAATTAAAGAGGACAAAGCTGGGCAAAGTTGGCTAGAAAGAGTTGGGAGTCTCCAGTAAGAACCAGTAAGTAGGTGAGAAGTAATCAAGAATTCCTCTGAGAACAGGAAATGTTCAAGACTTACTCCCCAACCAGGTTGAGGAGTCCTTGGAAATACTGAGAAAGGCACTAGTTAGAAGGGATGGGGCTTGGGTATTTTATTTGAGTACTAAAAACAAATTGTCCTAGTAGGTTATCAGTTTGGGGACATGGTACACATACATATGTTTTTATATACACATAAATTGAATGCAAATACATTCAGTAAACCTTGTTATTCTTGATTTTTATTTTCTTTACATTTTTCTGTATTTTCCAAATCCTATACATTGAACATGCATTATGCTCATAATATAAAGAAACCATACATATTTTAAAAAACAAAAACATTACCATCTGAGATAGTCACCTTTAAATTATAGATCTCCTGATTGAGAGCAATATAGTTATTGCTTATGTATAATTCAATCAGAGTAAAAGCTTTTTGTAAACCACTCAATGAAGTAATTCTGTTGTTCTCAAGAGAAAGGGAGTGAAGATGAAGCATGTTATCAAAAGTATGTTTTTCCAGACCATTGAGAAGATTATTATTTATGCTGAGGCGGGTTAATTTAGTCAGCTTGGAAATGCCTAGAAAAATAAGCAAATTCAAGAAATGATTCAGATAGCACTGAAAAGTTAGTTTAAAAAATAACTGGCTGGCCATTTTACTTTTTCTCTTTACATTTTCTTTTACAGACTCTATAGCACTATCATTGTTTTGACTTTTAAGAAGGATACAATGTGTATAAAGTCCCAGCTAATATACTAAATTCCAATTTTGGATTTCTATGTAGACTCAGTCTTCCTAGGTATTAAGGGACTGTATTATGTAGGAAATATTGAATTTCACTTTCAAATAACCTTCAAATTATATAATTAAGATTTTCACCATCACAATAACACAAAGCTCAAAATCATCACCAGCCCCCCATTTTAAAACATTAAAGGTAAGGGAGTAGATACAGCACTTTGGAAAGTATTCCTCATTGTGGCATTATTTGTATTGAAAAGAACCACTTGGCCTAATTCTACCTTTGCATGCTTAAAACTACTTTAAGACAGAACTTGAGAAAATGCCACCTCTCACCACAATCTAACCCCTAAGTATGCTATATGCTGTAGGTATTTTGCAGATAGTATAGTGCAAGTTGAAAGATGAGAGAGAACTTTGGAGTCAGAGTTGGTTTCAAATGTAGAACCACTAGATTTGGGATCATAAGTATGTTATGTAAAACTTTGTAACCTCTGTGCCTCATTTTCCTCATCCATAAAAAGCACATACTGAAATCTACCTCTAAGGGGTTATGGAATTAAGTGGAATTGCATTTGAAATATGTCAGTTATAGCTTTTGGCAAATAATTGGTTCTCAGAACATTTTATCCATGCTGGCCTTTCACACCAGCCTTACTCATGGGACTATGCAAGCTGAGAATAAATTGATCTAGGGCAAGTTGGGATAACACTATCAGAGAAAAAAATCCTTAGATGGACATTAAACTTATCTGTGTCTGGAAAAAAGAAGAGAAATATTTGTTAAAGCTTAGTGAGGTAAAACTATCATCTCTGAAAAGTGGGTAATAGGAAAAACATAGGTTGGAGGATTCTTCCCTTCAGTGGGCTGATGGGTGGAAATAAAAAGGAAACTGGAAACTGTTCTGTTACACATACAAAGGAAAACTAACACCCTATTTTGTGAGAATGGAAGAGACTAGTGATGGTTCTAAAGAGAGAAGGCTGAGCTACCCCCAGGTTTACGTAATTCAAATCTACAAAGGAGAGGCCTGTGAATCTATATATTCAATAAGCGTCCCAAGTGATTCTTATGATCAAGCAGGTTTTATAAGCAGATTGTTAAGAGCCATCAAAATAAAATATAATGAATGTTATACACACTGTTTTTAAAGATATCTAATACTTGCTTTTGCATATGTAATTTTTTGAAATAGAATTTTCTACTTTTATGGAAAAGTACACACATGTGCTAAAAATAATCCAGCAATTCAAAAGTGAATAAAGTATAAATTAAGTCTCTTTTCTAGCCAATGGAAATCATCATACAACCAGAAATATTCTATACCCAGATAAATGTGTATATTTGTGTGTGTGCGCATACCCAACATTAATTAGTAAAGCTGCTTCATTGTACTTTATGTGGATCCCTATAAAAGGTGATATAGTACATTTGATAATTTTCAACCTCTAGTGAGTAGTTTTCATTTTTGTTGAAGTCTTCAAATTTCCAAAGGTAATCTTAATTCCATACTTTGAAAAATCAACTGGGCTGCTTTATCTTTTCCAAAAGCACACCTCATTCATTCATTCATTCATTCATTCTCATTCAGATACTAATTACTTTCTAGTTTGTAATGTGCTAGGTTTGGTTATAGGTGGGACAGAGGAGAGGAGAGAGAAGTCAGAGCTGAAAGTCGGCTAGCTGGGCTCATTACATATAGTGACTGGTCACAGATCCCACTAGTAAGTGTTCGGAACATTCTGCCCCAAACCTTCTTGGAACTTCTGTAGACATCTTCCTCCTAAAAAATTCTGTCCTCCACATTTTCCTTTTTGGCTCTTGTTAGTTAAACATTCATATTAAGATTTTAAAATTCTCAGATACCTTCTATCTTTGAGATACAGTTTCCATCTAACATGAGTTCTTCCAAGTTAACACAGGATTCCAAGCCTTCTATTTTAGTGAGATTATTGTTGCTGAATGATGCCCATTTCAAATTTTCCAATTTTTCTAAATTTGTGATTTCAAAGAGATGTTGCCCATCTAAATTTAAAGCAGTTATCTGTAGAATAATTCACATTTTATGTTACTTCTGACTTGGTATCAATAAACTCAATGTTAAAAAAGGCTAATGAAATCATTCAAATGTGGTAAGTAACAGCAAAGGAATTCCTTCAGGGGCTCAGGGGCAACTAGGTGGTTCAGTCAGTTAAGTGTCTGACTTTGGCTCAGGTCGTGATCTCATGGTTCCTGACTTTGAGCCCCACATTGGGCTCTGCACTGCTTGAGATTCTCTGTCTCTCTCCCTTTCTGACCCTCCCCTGCTCGCTTTTTCTCTCTCAAAATAAATAAATAAACTTAAAAAAAAAAAAGAATTCCTTCAGGAACTAAAGACATTGTGAAACTTACAAAAGGGTAAAATTTGACAAGATTATAACCCCAAGAGGGACTTATATGGTCTTATGGACACTGTGCTGTGTCAGATTCCCCTGCAGTGAAAAACTTGTCCCAGCTGCTGGGAGTGCTGTGGGCAGAAAGATTTCGGCTGTCAGCTCCTTCAGGGACAGCCTCAGCTGCAGAGAGCTGCCTTGCGCAAGGTCATGCTCCTTCCCAGTTTGGCCCAAATCCAATGATGGAAGGATATAAAGACCTGGCCATCTCAGCCCAACTTGGGACAAATTTAAAGGGCCATTCTAATTCCAAAACTCGCCGTGGGGTCAGGCAGAGCTGTCACTGGGCATGCATCACAACTAAATGTCTGTATATATCCTGTAATAAAATAATGCCATTGATTTCTTCCTTTTTCGAGGGTCAGCTTCTCTTAACCCAGGTTCAGTCTTTGGCAAGAGGCATAAGGATGCTCTGTGCAACAAAAAGAAGCTGTTGGTGCTCTATCCTTGGCTGAATTGTGACCAGTTCCCCTAGTGTCGTGCCAGAATTCTTTATTTCTTTTACCTTGTCACCCAAAATTTTGGCTTGATCTCTGGTTTTGTGCTCTAAAGTTTGCTTGCTTCTTTTGATACATTATCAAAATCTACCCTTTGGTCTTGTAGCATACACTTATCCTAAATCTCCAGCTCTATGGTGACTGCCATTAAGGCCTAGTCCCCATGACATTACCACTCATGACTTGACGTCCCTGTTTAATTTTGATTTGGCCCTTACAGTTTTCTGCTCCTTACCTATCTGTGCCCTCTTTAAGACACATGGACCAAAGCTGATTAAAAATCAAGTGAAATTGGGGCGACTGGGTGGCTCAGTTGGTTAAGCGACTGACTTCGGCTCAGGTCATGATCTTTCAGTTTGTGAGTTCGAGCCCCACGTCGGGCTCTGTGCTGACAGCTCAGAGCCTGGAGCCTACTTCAGATTCTATGTCTCCCCCTCTGTCTACCCCTGCCCTGCTCATGCTCTGTGTCTCTCTGTCTCCCAATAATAAATAAATGTTAAAAAGAATTTAAAAATCAATTGAAATTAAGCTTTTATATTAGTTAAACAGAATTAGTTTTTACCTTCAAGTACCAGTTTCCATTCACATGTAAATGTGGTCCCAACTTTGAAATCTGTGTCAGAATTTTTGCAGAAGGCCATATACTAAGTGTCCGTGGTCTCTCCTCTTTAGTACTAGAATGCCGTAAGAGCGATAACTAATAAAATAAAAAACACGTGATGAATAAAGGAAATGGAATATAGAGGTTCATTTATATATAGTTAAAAAGTACTTTTTCCTTGCTGAGTGGCACAATGAATAATTTTAAAATATGACATTTTCTTTGCCTTAAAATGTTCTCAATATCTAGATATATTTCACTTTTTGTTTTAGCAGACGGTTACAAAATAATAGTTATAAAAGATTGCTATAATACAAACACCCATATAATCCATTCACTAAACAAGTTTCAGAGCTAGAATATTTCTCCCACTCTGGAAGCTCCCTGTGTGCCCCATCCTAATCCTTTTCCTCTCCTTCCCCTCCAGAGCCATCACTCACCTCATGTGAATCAACCAATGCTCCACAATCTCAAATTTTGTATCTACCATTCATTTGCTTTATTTATAGGCCTATGTTTGTGCCCATAAACAATATATCATTTAATCTTACACATATTAGAACCTTCTGTAAATTGAATAATATAAATGTATTCTTCTATGACTTTTTTGCTCAACGTTGTGTTCGTGACATTCATCTAGGCTGCTGCACGTAGCTGTAGTTCATTCACATGTCATTGCTGTACAGTATTTCCTTATCGATTCTCCCATCAGTGAACATTGGGGCTGATTTCAGTTTTGCACACTGCTGTTATGAATATTCTTGACTCTTGCTGCATACATGCAAGAGTTTCTTTGGAATATACACAACTTGCTAGGTAATAGGGTTAACTATATATTCAGCCTTACTAGATAATGCCAAATTGTTTTCCAGAGTGGTTATACCAATGGTAACTTTTAGTTCAAATTTTTGCTAAAACCTGATAGTGTCAGGCTTTAAAACTTTTGCCAATTGGTGGCTGTAAATTGTTATCTCATGCAGTTTTAATGTTCATTTCCTTGAATACTAATGTGATGGAGCATCTTTTCCTATTATTTGGCTGCTCTGATTTCCTCTCCAGCACCTTTTGCCTACTTTTCTGTTTGATTGGCAGTCTTTTTCCTGGTATATTCAGGATATGCAAATAGCATCTGTTGTTAGACATGTTGCATATTTCTTTTCCCAGTATGTAGCTTGTTTTTCCACTTTCTTTATGGTGTGCCCTTTAAGGAACAGTTGAATTAATTTTAAAGTAGACAAATCCAGTCTTTTATATTTATGCTCTTGGTTTCTTGTGTAATGAATTCTTCCCTCATTCAAGGACATAATGATAATCTCTGCTCTTTGCTTTAAAAAAAATTTTTTTTAATGTTTTTTATTTATTTTTGAGTCCGAGAGAGACAGAGCATGAACAGGGGAGGGGCAGAGAGAGAGGGAGACACAGAATCCGAAGGAGGCTCCAGGCTCTGAGCTGTCAGCACAGAGCCCGACACCGGGCTCAAACTCACGAACCGTGAGATCATGACCTGAGCCGAAGTCAGACGCTTAACTGACTGAGCCACCCAGGCGCCCCTCTGCTCTTTGCTTTTAAAACATTTTTGATTTTGACTTTTACAGTGAAGTCTTAATGCACTTGTCCAAGTGCTTTTTATTGACTAGCTTCCTTGGTCTGTAAAGGCAGTTCTGTAATTTATCAAGTTTCCATGTATGTGTGGTTCTATATTTGGTCTTTATATTCTGTGCTATTGGTCTGTCCCAACTCTACATTGTCTTAAAGGATTTTAGTAAGTTTTGATTTCTGGTAGGATAAATCCCCAACTCTTCTTCAGGAGTTAATTATATTTTTTTATCAACAAAAAAGTTTCTTCCCTTCATTTTGAGTGGATCCAAAATTAAACATTACATTAAGGAATTAATATTCAAATGCCTCACAAGAAGTACATAGCTGGAGAACTAGGGTAAAGATGTTTAGGATTGCAGCTATTTTGGCCAGAGTACAGCATTCTTAATCTGGATAATATGGGCATTTCCTGCCCCCTGCCCAAGTTCATTAATTATGTTATGTTTTGTTTGTTTTGTTTCAGCCAGTAATGTCAATACTAGATAGGTAATTCACTAAATGCTTTATCAAGGCCTCTAAGCTTACTTTGTCCATAGAAAGTTGCTTGTTTTCATGTAGGCTCTAGAAAGGACTCTGGTGAGTTTTCAAGTTGACTAGGAAAAAACACAATTACCCAGGAGGCATTTTGGGGGTAGTGTGCAGGGATGAGAATCCATACAACCAGTTGGTATTTAAATAAGATACATTTAAACAGGAAAAAAAGTTCAAGTGATATGGTTGTTACATATTGATTGTTTTTTTTTTTTATTAGCATGCTAAAAGAAGACACAAAATCTTAAAAACAAGCAAGGTATGGAATATATAACTTGTATATTCTAAACAGCACAAAAAATATTAAACAGTGAAACCCAACCTGAGTAATCTTTGTTCCAGTAATAAATTTCATTGCTGCTATTGTTTCTTCTTCAGAAACGAGGAGTCCATCTAAATGAGTGAGAGTCTTTAATCTGCCAATAACACTCAGCCTTAATGTGGCTGGCTTGGGAGAAATAAGAAAAGGTTAATTTTTACAAAATATTACATATGTTATGGCATGGAAAGGAGTGTGCTTCTTTTTTCCTTCCCATGTAATTCAAAATTATGCATCTCCCACTCTCTTATATATATCTAAAAATAAGGGCCTAACTTAGTTCTTCAGTAGCTGAAATTAAATTCTGTTTAAAAACTAATCTGTTTTGTTTGAAGCCAGATGACTTCTGGCTATAAGCTGTTGAAAAGTGTGATGAAAAGTGCTCAGAGAACAATGGCAGTGAACTCCTGTTCTTCTAGATCAGCAGTTAGCTCCGTGTGCAAGTCTCTATAGATCTTTAGCCCTTGGCATCTAGTTTGGCAACGGGAAGATAGCTGTACACATTCTGTGTCTGCTTTGGCAAAAGAAAAATACCCTTCAATTTTCCCGAGCTAAAAAGAAATAGAACAACGTAAACATAGTAACTTGGCCAATTTAACAGAACCAATCATTAGCCTCTTTTTAAAATATTGAACCCAGTCTTATATTCATTTTTGAAAAGCAAGGAAAGGAGGATTCTTGACATTATTGGCTTGGGGCTTATTTTAAATCCTTGGAGATACCCTTAAATATAATCATTGAATACTGAAATTTCTTAGCATGAATCTGTGTATTTTTGTGATGAGAAAAAAATAGTGTTTAATCAAATTTCCTTTTATAGCAGAAAATAAGCCTCTATAATGCAGGTTTATCAGGGGAAGTAACAAATGTATTCCCTCCCTTAATAGTCTGTTTCTCTCACTGTATTCTATTATTCTTGGTCCCATGCTTCATTACAATAGGTTCTAGTACACTGAACTGTATAATCCCTCCCAAAGTTTGCAAATAGCAATAGTATCTAACACTCTTAAAGCCACCATACTCTCAAACTATTAGAGCTTATCAAAAAAAGCTTTCCTTATAGTAACATTTAATTCATTTGATCACTACGCTAAATTCAACTTATAAAATACTTAAAGGAATTCTAGTAAAACAAAGATAGTTTTCCCATTTCTGGCTACTGCTGAATAGTACCAAGAAAATGGCTTAGAAAGAAAAATGATTCTTTGCTTTTTTATAAATACATCTGCTGCGTACCTTTTGCCATGGATTATGCCTAATATCAAGAGTAAGAAGGCTTGCGGTGTGTTTGCATAACATATTTATTTCATCACCAGACTTTTTCAGTTGATTCCAGCTCAAGTCTAGGTGCTTGAGTTTCATCAGACCTCTGAATCCCTCCAATGTTATCACATGGTTATGGCTTGCATCCAAATATTCAAGGTTATACTGCAACACATACAAATAGAAGTGGTGCTGAAAAGGGTCACAGTTTCTATTTACAGAGTTCTTGTCTCTATGAGTCACTAAGTATTTACATGATTTTTGGTAATTCTTACAGAAAACCTAAACAGTAGATATATTGCATTATGGTATCAACATATGTATTCTCCCAAAGAGCTACAGGTCTTTTATTTTTAGCCCTCAATTCTCACTTCACCCTTCTAAGGTAGAGAGGCAGGTATTTGTTTTCCTAGGAAAGAAGCTGAAGAGTAACTGACAAGATAATTTATCCCCCCAAAACAAGGAATTACACTTTTACTTTCTGGGCTGCTGGTTTATACCATTGAACCCATGGCCTGGTTAAAAAAGATTCACCTTCAGAGGTAGAAATTTCAGGTCAGGTCATGATCTCACAGTTTGTGAATTTGAGCCTCGCATCAGCTCCACCCTCGGCGTGGAGACTGCTTGGGACTCTCTCTTGCTCCCTCTTTCTCTGCCCCTCCCTTGCTTGCTCTCTCTCTCTCAAAATAAATAAATAAGCTTAAAAAGAAAAAAAAAGAGCCACTGAAAACATTGTTTCAATTATATGCACAAATAGTCTTACACAAAACATTGTATTACATAGAAATTTGTATCCCTTTCACATTCATGCATCATTAAATATTCTTTAAAATGGTTTTGGATAATATTCCAATATTGTACTGATTGTAAAATATTCCAATAAGTGAATAATTAGGATTATTTTAAACATATTACTACGAACATTTATGTGGCTTCTAATTCTTGGCAACACTACCACAAACATCCATGATCATGAGACTTTAACTGAGACTCTCATGTTTTTTCAGAAGAGATTTTTAAAAATGTGATTCTTAGTTTGGATTTCTATATTGTTAAAATTTTTGATAAATACTGCCAAATACTATTCAAGGATGTTTGTACCAATTTTTTCTTCCAACAGTAGAATATGAGAATGTTCATTTTCTTAAATACCCACCAATTCATCTGCCTTATTTTAATTTACATTGCTTATGACCGGTGAAGTTGAACATCTTTCCATGTGTTTTGTATGAGCCACTTTTAAATTTTGGTTTTGTTTCTTGTGTCTTGTCTTTAGACATTTATCTATTCAGATATTCATCTAGTTATTTGTAAGAAGTCTTTAAGACTTCAATTTGTTACTTCTATTTGTTGCAAATAAAATTTTCTTTTAAGGTGTATACTAATTCAGACTTAGAACAAAGAAGAGATTAAGAACTTTAAGAAGTAATTTTGCAACATATTTTTAAAAATAAAAAGTAATATTACTATGGATTAAAAATGAACTTGATTTCCTTAAGGACATAAAGTCCTTAGACTTAGAACAGTTTTTTTGGCTTTATAAAGATTTACTACATGGCCTGTCTTTTCCCAGTTTTCATCATAAAGTGGTAAAAACTTGTCCCAAATTCTGGCACTTACATGCAGACTAGCATTTGGGAACCATGCATCATAAAAAGATAACTGTCTTCTTTCCTTGAAAAGGGGGATAGGATCTTCATTTTTGTAATCCCAAGATATAAAACAGATATTAAGTATTTTCAGTTTTGTAGCAGAGTTTTCTGTCTTAGTAGTTCTTGTGCTTCAGTTTAAATCCTTAAATCACAGTATAGCACAGCCAATTTACAAAGATTAAAACCCACAACACCTCCTTTAACTATTCTTAGGGATAACGGTTCATTCTCTAAATATAAATTAGCTCTCTGTAGACATCAAGAACACTTTAACAATAAGTTTTTCATTGGAAGAGATAATACAGAAGTATTATTTCAATAAAAAATTGGGCACATAATCCAGACTAAGATTGCAAAGAGCCATATATAGATATAGATTATAGATATAGATCT